TTTTACTGTAAAAAAACCTCCTTTTTGGATACTACTTCTTCTCCTCTCCCCCCTCCCTACCTGCCAGAGTGCTGTATTTTACTGTATATAACCCCCCCGCCCCCTCCTTTTAGCCCCACTATTTAAAAAGCTGCGGCACCAACAGACTCCTGGGTTGGTTTTTTTTTTGTTCCTTTCACTAAAAGATTCCCTGGTCACCGAGTTGTGTTTCCTTCTCCATTATCTATTTTTTTTTTTCCAACCCCCCCTCCTAAAACCACTGACAGTTTGACGGACGCCCATCATCTTTTCCTGCACATCATCTTCTCTTTCAAGCCAAGATTAACATTTAAACGTTAAACCTCTTTATTTTCCCTCACAAACAGCAAATAAAAGCCCCACCTCGTGCTGTTGCTTGAAGGGAGCAAAGAGGTTTCCAAGGGGCCGGGTGGCCCCCCCTCCCCGTCCGCAAGGACCGAGTTGTTTCTTTTACCGCTTACTATGCAATGTCGAGCTTGGAACTTGGGCTTTGACTTGAGGATAGAGAGGAGCCATGTCCCGCTTCAGTGGTTAGGGACTGAGCACCCCCCCAAAAACCTCCCCTCCTCCCCCACTTTTTTGTTCCTTTCACTAAAAGATTCCCTGGTCACCGAGTTGTGTTTCCTTCTCCATTATCTATTTTTTTTTTTCCAACCCCCCCTCCTAAAACCACTGACAGTTTGACGGACGCCCATCATCTTTTCCTGCACATCATCTTCTCTTTCAAGCCAAGATTAACATTTAAACGTTAAACCTCTTTATTTTCCCTCTTTTTTCCTCCCATTTCCTCGTGCCAGGTGAAGATGGCAGTCTAGATAAATACTCCTTTTTTTTTTTTTTTTTATTTCTTTGAAGAACCAATTCCCCAAATCCTTCCTAGAGTATTGTATTTTTAGGGGAAATTAATTTTTATAGCCGCTAAAACTATACTCATTATTTTTGTACGGTTTTGACATTTTTCAGAGGCGTGGGGCGGAGGGAACGCTTGATTTTTTCACGGCTCTTTTACTCCTTGGGCAGGTGTTGGTTAGGTCCTCCCTGTGCCACGGGGGAGAGAGAGAAAAACGCAATAAAAATGAATGAAGTTTGGGTAAAAGAGCCGTTTTTTGAAGGCAAAAAAAAAATAGAGAAGCTATTACAAAAGCGACACTAACCTTTTCCTCCTTTAGAATCCTAAAATAGCTGGGAGAAATATAAACCGATGAGAACCCTTAATTGTAACCTTTAATTGTGCCAATATCGCTTCCCTTCGGAGTCACCGACGGAGATCTTTAGTTTTAAACCAGAACAGCTTTTGATTAAAAGAAAAGAAAAATAGAAAAAAAAAAAAAAAAAAAAGAAAAGTTGAATGTCTGCAAAATCTGCAACGTTGTTTCTTTGCGAGTTGTAAATACTGTATACAGAGGGGGGTATGTCACGGGACAGAAATATTTAAATTCTAGAGTTTTGTTTTTTGTTTTGGTTTTTTTTCAAGAAGAAACGGAAGGCTGTTTATAAGAGACAATAAATAGCTATGTTTGACCACCGCTGGCTTTGGTTGCCTTCTTCAGCTCGGTTCTAACTTATCCATCCCTCTAGGAGCAGGAGGTTTGTGTTTTCCCCCTGTGCTTTGTCCACATCCCAACTAATTAGTGGGGGTTTTTTTGTGTGTAACTCTGGGAATTTGGGACCGTTTGTAATTCAGGCAGACCCGAGAGCGATAAACAGTCCTCAGCCCCTTCTCCTTGCTTTGTGACCCCTTAAACTGGGAAGACTGGGAGAGCTTTGCTCTTGCAGGGGTCTCCCAGGGCACTGGTTCCATGTGAAATACCCCATTTTTGGCCATGGGGCTTTTTGCTTTGTTTTTCTTTCTTTTTTTCCACTCTTTTTTTCTCTGCCTGTATCCCAATGTCTCCACCCTCCAGATTTCCGGAGCACCCCATCCCACTGTGAGTCCTCTCTTTGCACTCTCAGCCTGAAAAAAAAGGGGTAAAAATCCAGCTTTTACAGCCATCTCCCTAAAAATGGTGGGTTTTGTGAGTGGTTGAGGGTGTTTGCACTGAGAGGCTGGAACAGAGCAGCATGTGGTGGTCGTGACTGTCCCCCTTTCACCCCTTCGAGGATTTTTTTCCCCCCCATTTTACTCCGTTAAGCCAAACAGCCACATGCTGTGAGGGTGTTTTGGGCAGATTTTTGGTGGTTTTCAGCAATAACTCTCCAAACAGGTGCCCTTGATCTCCTTGAAACCCCAACCCAGCTGTCGCTTTGAGGTACTTCTGGGCGATTTTTAACACCTGAGGGCCTTTGGGTGACCTCCGCGGCCGTTGCTTCCCTCCCGCCCCTTTGGCTGAGAACCGAGCAACTCGCGTCAGGTGCGGGCGCCCAGCCCGCATCGATGCGCTCCTCCCCCTTCCCATCCTCAGCACTGCCTGCTTGGATCGACAGCTCCGCGCTCCACCGCCCGCCCTGCGCCCACTGTCCCGTCCCGGCGCCCTCCGCGCGCCGCGGCCTCCCCTCTGTCGTCTCCGGCCCCCGCCCCGACGGGGGGCGCCAAATTCGAAGGCGGGCGCGAGCGCGGCCGTTATTTCCGTTATTCCCCTCAGTCGCCGCCATGGCCACCCCTCCCAAGCGCGGGCGGCTGGAGGGCCGCATCAAGAAGATCGCCGTGGAGGGGAACATCGGTGAGTTTGTGGGCCTCGGGCCCTCGGCTGTGGGGAGAGGCCTCCCCGGCACGACCTTCCCTTTGCGCTGGCAACCGGGGTTTCCTCGCCCCTTTCCCCCCGGTTTCAGTCAGGGGCGTGCTGTGGGGAGAGCCCGGCGGGAGGGGACGGGGAAAGATCGTGAAGGGAATGGAGCGCCTCTGCTGAGGGACCTGGCGCTGTTGGGCTGGAGAAGGGCAGCCTCAGGGGGGATCGCATGGATTCTAAACTCGTTCTGGGCTCCCCGGTTCCAGAAGGACAGGGAACTGCTGGAGAGGGGACAGCAGAGGGCTATAGAGATGATGAGGGGACTAGAACATCTCTGTGATGAGGAAAGGCTGAGGGACTTGGATCATTTTAGTGTGGAGAAGAGAAGGCTGAGGGGGGATCTGATCAACACCTATAAATCCTTCAAGGGTGGGTGTCAGGAGGATGGGGCCAGGCTTTTCTCAGTGGTGCCCAGGGACAGGACAAGAGGGAACGGGCACAAACTGGAACACGGGAAGTTCCACCTCATCATGAGGAGGAACTTGTTTGGTGTGAGGGTGGCAGAGCCCTGGCAGAGGCTGCCCAGAGAGGTGGTGGAGTCTCCTTCTCTGGAGACATTCCAAACCCTCCTGGACACGTTCCTGTGGGACCTGCTGTGGGTGCCCCTGCTGTGGCAGGGGGTTGGAGGAGATGATCTCCAGAGGTCCTTTCCAACCCCATAGCATTCTCTGATTCTGTGAAGAACTTCAGAAACTTTCCCCTGACACGGCAGAAATTAATGCTATAAAAACGATGATATTTGGGAGGGGGAGGAAAAAAGCTTTCTATAATGCTTTTTAATTTATTTCCCTTTTTTGCACTGAAGTCCTGGTTAAGGTTTCTCCCCCACCTGTCCTGATTGTAGCGTAAAACACCTGTGTAATTGCAGGCTGCTGGGTCAAACTCCTCATGTTCAATGCTCCTGCTAATTAACACGAGAAGCCTGCACAGCTGTTGTAACAAGGAGGAAAAGTTATGGGCTGATCATAGTGAAATATTACTCTTCTTTTTATTTTATTTTGGCAAGAGGGTGTGCCTAAACTGGAAGATAGGAGCTGCCAGGGTGTTACTTTACCAGTATGTACGTTGGTGGTTGATAGCCACTGGGTGCGTTCTCTCAGGTTTAACAGCTCTTTTTAAAATTTCCTGGGTGGTTTTTTTTTTTCAATTGGCGGCAGAATAATGTCTCTGTGCTTCAGGAAGTCACTAGTAACGCCTCTTTGTACCTGCATTTGAGAAAGCATAACTTCTGTTTTAAGTTTCCTTTGTCATTGCTTGCTTTTTTTTTTTTTTTCCCCTTTCTAAAATAATTTGGGAAGACTGCAGCTTCAGGCCTGAGACTAGATGACTAAGTATCTTTAAAAAAAAATCATAGGATCATAGAATTGTCCAGTTTGGAAGGGACCTTTAAGATCATCAACCTTCTGATAAAACCCATCACTAACCCATGTCCCTCAGCACTGTGTCAACCCATCTTTTAAATCCCTCCAGGGATGGTGCCTCAACCCCTTCCCTGGGCAGCCCATTCCAAGGCTTAGTAACCCTTTCCATGGAAAAATTTTTCCTGATATCCAATCTGAACCTCCCCTGGTGCAACTTGAGGCTGTTTCCTCTTGTCCCATGGCCTGTTCCTTGGGAGAAGAGACCGACCCCCCCTGGCTACACCCTCCTTTCAGGGAGTTGGAGAGAGCCAGAAGGTCTCCCCTCAGCCTCCTTTTCTCCAGGCTGAACACCCCCAGTTCCCTCAGCCTCTCCTCACAAGACTTGTGCTCCAGACCCCTCACCAGCTCCAGCCCCTCAATGTTTTTTTTGTGGTGAGGGGCCCAAAACTGGACCCAGCCCTCGAGGTGGGGCCTCCCCAGTGCCCAGTCCAGGGGGACCATCACCTCCTGAGTCCTACTCACCACACTGGTAACACTTGGTATTCTAATTGCAATGTAACTTTCTAGAATTTAGATAATTGATCTGGGCTGAGACTGGTTGTCATTGTTGGCTTTTGTTGAACTTGGTATTTTTGCTGTGAGGTACGAAATAAAAAAGAACCCCCCTGTTTCTCAGTTAATTGATGGTCTGTGGTACACGATGGCTTTCAATCCGTGCTTGTCATGAAGTCACAAGTACGTGGGTGTGGGAGATTCATTTATGGGACTTGACACCAGAGCTGTGTGGTGCTTAAATAACGATACTACGGGTGTTTTTTGACTGCTGTTCCTCCCGGATGCCTTTTCTACAGCTGCAGGGAAGTCGACGTTTGTGAATATTCTCAAACAAGCTGCTGAGGACTGGGAGGTTGTTCCTGAGCCTGTAGCTAGATGGTGCAACGTCCAGCAGAACTCTGAAGAGGAGAGCGAGGTATGGGAGAAGAAACTAAGATGAAACTTTTAAAATAATAATTAAAAAAACCCCACCCAAAACTGGAACAAAACCAGTCAAATGTTCTTCTAATTTCAGAAGATATATAGACAGATATTTTAGAAAATATACATGAAGGCAACATTTTCGATGACTCTTACCGTAATATTTGAGTTCCTGTTTTCCAGTCTGCTCAGTGTATTATAGAATAAATGGTACTCAACGTCAGGATGTCAATTGTAAAATCAGTGAAAGCCTGTTCTATCTTATGTGTAAAAGCAAGGAATGGAAAAAAAAGTTAAACAGAAGTGACTTTTTGGAACTGTGATCTAGCTGGGTGAGGGCAGGGGGCTGTAAAGCAGGGCAGGGCTGCACACCAGGTTTGGTTCTGGTGAGAATGTCATACAGCCTGAACAATAGGCCTTTGCCTGGTTTCTTTTCCTCTTCTCCTTCCCTTTTCTGGGGAAAGTTATCAGCATTACACATCTTGATTATTGCTTTTTTTAATATAGTTTAGTACCAAAAAGTAGGGTTTCGCATTTTCCATCTTGAATAAACCTGGTGCTTTCCTTATCCTGCAGGATCAGGAGGAAAAAAATAAAATATTTGGGAAGTTCGTTTTTTATGGGTGTGTGAACTGAGAGAGGTGTGTCTTCCTGCTTTTGTAGTTATTAGTTCTTATGAAAGTTGCACCTGAAATACTTCAGTTGGATTAGTACTGTATTAAAAAATACAATGATTTTCAAGGATATTGGGATTTTTCCCAGAGCATAGTTCTATATCTTTAATTTCTTACTGGAGAAACTGATAAATAAGGGTGTTCTGAGTTGTGAAAGGTCATCTTCTCTCCTTGATTTAGGGAGTAGAGGGGCATGTCCTGGCCAGTGGAGCCAGGCTTTCTGTTCCCATGTCTTTTAGGTTCCTTTTTTATGGGTGTGTGAACTGAGAGAGATGTGTCTTCCTGCTTTTGTAGTTATTGGTTCTTATGAAAGTGGCACCTGAAGTACTTCAGTTGGCTTAGTACTGTATTAAAAAATACAATGTTTTTCAAGGATATCGGGATCTTTCCCAGAGCATAGTTCTGTATCTTTAATTTCTTACTGGAGAAACTGATAAATAAGGGTGTTCTGACTTGTGAAAGGTCATCTTCTCTACTTGATTAGGGAGTAGAGGGGCATGTCCTGGCCAGTGGAGCCAGGCTTTCTGTTCCCCTGTCTTTTAGCTGCTGGCTTGAGGTGTCTGATCTCCCTCGAGGGCTGAGAGAGATCTTTGGCCCAGAGTCAGTCCTGATCCTCCCAGGTAAGACGAGAGCGTAATCCTATCTTCAGATGCTGCCTCAGCAGCTGCTGACATAGGAACTGTCATTAATAGGTGGAAAAACAAAACGAGCCCAACTTTAAACTCAGGCTTGTCAGAGTAAAAGCAACATGGCTTTTTTTTTTTCTAAAGTGCAGTCGATTTTTTTTGTACCGACAGGATGTTGTTCTTTGATTAAAGCTTGTAAATAGTGATCAAAGGGCTTTGGTACCTGAGCGCTCTGACAGGTGGATTGCAGGGAGTTGCTGGTTCAGCTCAGTGCCAAGGGAAGGGCAGAGTGGCTGGAGCTGCCACTGAAAGGGTTCTCAGCCATTGGAATGGGCTGCCCAGGGAGGTGGTTGAGGCCCCATCCCTGGAGGTGTTCAAAAGACAGGTTGATGTAGTGCTGGGAGGTCTGGTTTAGTGATGGTGATGCTCCTTGTTTGTTGTGTGGGTGTCTATTTTTGTCAGTTAGGTTGATGGTTGGACAAGATGATCTTTAGGGTCCCTTCCAACCTAGAAGATTCTGTGATTCTGTGATTCTGTTTACAGCCTTGTATTACAAATAGGGTTGAGAGGTAAATGGTGCAATTGTAAACCTGAAATAAAGGCTGAATGGCTCTCAGTGACAGGGTGACTCTGTGTGTGTTTGAAACCAGGAGCTGACCACGTCGCAGAAGAGCGGTGGGAACGTGCTTCGCATGATGTATGAGAAACCAGAGAGGTGGTCCTTCACCTTCCAGACCTACGCGTGTCTCAGCAGGATCCGGGCTCAGCTCAGATCCCTTGAAGGCAAACTCAAAGATGTGGAGAATCCTGTGGTCTTCTTCGAGCGGTCTGTCTACAGCGACAGGTGCGTTGGACTCAAGTCCTTTAATTGAAGATCAAAATTTTCCAAAGTAAAACACATAAATAAATAAAAAGCAGAGCCTGACTGAGTTTTGTGCCTCCTCTTGACATATTTTTGATACTGGTGAATACCCGTGTTCCTGCATTGGGAAGGTTAGATTTGATAACTAAATCCCATCACGCTGAAGATCAAAATTCTCCAAAGTAAAACACATAAATAAAAAAAAAAGCAGAGCCCGACTGAGTTTTGTGCCTCCTCTTGACATGTTTTTGATACGTGTGAATACCCGTGTTCCTGCATTGGGAAGGTTAGATTTGATAACTAAATCCCATCACGTAATCCTGAGGGGTGCACAATGTTCTAATATGTTGTAAATAAATGACCACAGTGCACAAACTGGTCGCGATTTGTAGGGCAACGAAATTAGTGAAGGGCCTAGAAGACAAATCATATGAAGAGCGGCTGAAGGGGCTGGGGTGTTTAGTATGAGGAAGAGGAGGCTGAGGGGAGACCTCATCACTCTCTACAACTACTTGAAAGGACACTGTAGAGAGGTTGGTGCTGGTCTCTTCTCACAGGTAATTAGTGACAGAACAAGAGGGAATGGCTTCAAGCTCCAACAGGGGAGGTTTAGACTGAACATTGGGAAGGAATTTTTCACAGAGAGAGTGGTCGGGCATTGGAACAGGCTGCCCAGGGAGGGGGTGGAGTCACCATCCCTGGCTGTGTTTAAGGGACGTTTAGATGCAGTGCTGAGGGATATGGTGTAGGGGAGAACTTTGTAGAGTAGGGGAGATGGTTGGACTCGATGATCCCAAGGGTCTCTTCCAACCTCAATGATTCTATGATTCTATGATTGTTCCTGAACAGATACCCCGGCTGCAAACGTTACTGTTTTTTGTGGACCCTGCTGTGGGTCAGGATGGGGATACTCGCTCTTTATTTCCAGTCCAAGCACACATCACAAAATTAACATAATTACTACATTCAGCTTCTTTTCTAGTTACAGTGCAGGATTTGAGGCAAAGCGATAACTCTGCTCACTCTCACTTTCGTTTACATCACTCTGTGTTTGCAGATATATCTTTGCAGCTAATTTATACGAGTCTGATTGCATGAATGAAACGGAATGGACTATTTACCAGGACTGGCACGACTGGATGAATAAGCAGTTTGGGCAAAGCCTGGAGCTGGATGGGATCATTTATCTCCGAGCCACTCCTGAGGTAAGGAATAAAAAATTATGACCACACAGAGAATGAGAGCATTCTGTGCTTTGTCTGTAAAATTTGATCTTTGTCTATACTTCCACTGTATTATTTTCTTAAAATGTAGGGTTTAACTATGATTCTAGGCCTTTTTTTTATGATAAAAGAAGAATATGCTCGCAGTTGACTTCAGTAAGGTCGCAATGGTGTGTCACTGTAGGTGGATTTTTGGGGTTTAGGGGGTTTGGTTTAGGGGATTGCTTTGAATGTCTCAGGCAAGGAAACAGTTGAGAAATTCTCCTTGAAATGTAACTTCAAAATCTTGAACGACTCAGAACAGCTCAGTTCAGATGGTAGCATTCCCCTGAAGACTACAATACTTGAGTTATGACTTAATAGAGTCTGGAAATACTTAAACAAGGAATGTTTTTTCAAATGTAGCTGGTGTATTTTTAAATAAAGTAGGATGACAGTAATTTAAAAATAATTATTTAATTATAGAAACAGAATATACAACAAGAGAAAACAAAAAAATACCACTGGAACTGAAAAAAAAAACACAAAGGAAAATACAAAATAGTTATAGGAACGTTGTGATATAGAATCAGAGAATGGTTTGAGTTGGAAGATCATCGAGTTCCAACTCCCCTGCCCTGGGCAGGGACACCTCCCACCAGCCCAGGTTGCTCCAAGCCCCCTCCAACCTGCCCTTGAACCCCTCCAGGGATGGGGCAGCCACAGCTTCTCTGCCCAACCTGGGCCAGGCTCTCACCACCCTCCCACCAAACAAGTTCTTCCCCACATCTCAGCTCCATCTCCCCTCTTGCAGGGTCAAACCCTTCCCCCTCCTCCTGTGGCTCCCCTCCCTCATCCAGAGTCCCTATATATGTGTATATATAGTTATATGTATATAACAATTTATAGTTAATGTCACAGCTGAGTTGGGAGTGTGTGTGTGAATCCCTTTCAGCTGGAGGAACCGTGAGTCTCTGTGACACTGCTTTGATATTTGGGCATCTAATATTCTTTTAGAAGAAGACAACTACATAACGAATATATCTTTTGAGTACAAAACTTACGTGAACAAGAGAAAAACAGGGGTTTAGAAGAGCTCTAATTGCAGTAATTAACTTAAAGGTCACTTCCAACTTTGATGCTTTCAACTCTGTTATTGTTGTAAACAGCTGCGTAATGTAACACTGGAGTTTCTCAGAGGGCTTTTTTTTTTAAAGTCACAGAATCACAGAATCTTCTAGGTTGGAAGGGACCTTAAAGATCATCTTGTCCAACTGTCAACCCAACTGACAAAAATAGACACCCACAACAAAAATAGACACCCACACAAAAATAGACACCCACAGTCAAGAATGTATATTTAAATTACAAAGTACAACAGTGTTGATTGGTTTGTTAGTGAGGCTTTGGATGTGCTCAGGACAGGAACAAATCATAGAAGGGTTAGAGTTGGAAGGGACCTTAAAGATCAGCCAATTCCATAAGACTTGTGCTCCTGACCCCTCACCAGCTCCGTTGCTCTTCTCTGGACCTGCTCCAACCCCTCAATGGCTTTTTTTGTAGTGAGGGCTCCAAGGTCAGCAAAACCAACTAATTTTTAAATTTATTTTAATTTCTTTTGCCTTTAGAAATGCTTAAATAGGATTTACTTGCGTGGGAGAGATGAAGAGCAAGAAATTCCCATTGAATATCTGGAGAAACTTCATTACAAACACGAAAGTTGGCTTCAGCACCGGACGCTGCGGTAGGTTTGTTTTAAATGGTTACTTAAAGATGGGTAAATCTTTGTAATGGTGTTCTGTAATGCTTTTTCCACCAGTGAACTATACCTTTTCCTAGGATATGCAAAGGTAAACTCCAGGATGATTTCAGCCCCTACTTCTCTAGTAGTATTGGCTTTAAATCTTGGTAATTATTGCTAGGATGTGCAGTGTGCCTTGAGCTCTCTTCGTGTAGAGCTCTGAATAGCAAAGGGTTCAGCTGAACTAATTTTAATACACAGCTGAATTTAACTTGAGGTGCTGGGGGAACAGAATGTTCAAGAATCAAGAATGTATCCTAGGAGCCACGCTGGAAATCCAGGCTGCTGTATATTCAGAATTTGTGGCTGTAATTTATATATGCAGTCCTTTTCATGGGATTCTTAATGAAAATGCTGACAGAGACTTGAATGGTGAATACTTTTTTTTTTTTAAGCTATTAATATTTTCTTTGTTTCTATCCCACAGAACGGATTTTGAATATCTACAGGAAATACCCATTTTAACATTAGACGTTAATGAAGACTTTAAAGGCAAAAAGGACAGATATGAACACATGACTGAAAAGGTAAAATTGCACAAGCAGAACAAACTCATGATTTCGGTTTATTGCCAGCACATCAGAATGAATTTGGGATACATCTTGCATCTCAAAGTAGAGCATTCTTTGAAGTCAGACCAGACTTAGGACCTGTAGAACCTGATTTTTTCCATGCTATTTCCTATATTAATTTTCCATTAAAAAAAAAGGGGGGGGATAAGGGAATATTCCAGGCTTGTTTGAGAAGACTTTCACTAGTAGCTTTGTTTGCAAATATAATTTCTAATTTAAATAACCCCCAGCTGTTTATAAGAACTGTTATTTGCTCGTTCTGCCTCTACCGCTGTGCAGGTGTCCTAGGAAATGTGGTGGGGGTGGGAGAGGATGAGGGAGAGAGGAGGAAGGCTGCACAGGTCCCAGTTGGATGGCTGGGATAAAGTCTTCCTTTTTAGGCTTGTTTATTAGATTTGCACTATCATTAAAGTTTTCCCCTTCAGTTGTGTTTATTATTCAAAATCCTGCTCCAAAGCAGTGGCCTGAAACTTCAGGGAATGCTTTTCAAACACAGCTTTTTATTTTGTTCAGGGACTTGTGCTGAATATATATCTGAAGTATTTTTTAGTTTTATTTGAAGGCGTGGAAAAAAAAATGTCTATTTGACAAAAAGAGAATTCAAGTCGAGCTTTCCATTTGCATTAAGAAGATCTAATCCTTTGCACAAAAAGACATATTGTATTTTAAAGATGGGCCAAATGGTTCATGTTTGAACTGCTCAGGTGTGTGGTGTTTGAATCATGATGAGATTCAGCTGAGGGCGACTCAGCTTTGATTTGAGTAGTTGCAATGAGTTGCAGACCTCAGCAAGGGCAAGAGTTTTTCCACTCTTTGGGGGAAAAAATTGTTTACCTCACGAGGGAAGCAGCTTTGTCCTTTGATCTCCGTTTATCCGCGGAGAAGTGGAACCGCTCACCTGATTAAAACCAGCATTTGTTGTATTTGCCTCTTTTTTTAAAGCCTGTTAATTGATGGAATGACTGGACGTGGCAGCTGGGGAGTGAAGAGGCTGCACCCTGAGATAAAGCCAAGCTCAGGCACCTAAATGGGGCTTTCAGAGGAGTTTGGTGCTGTGTAGCTGTCGGGTTATCTGGGAACAGCCTCAGCCCTGTGCTGGCCTTATTTTTTTGGCATTTCCAGTCAGAGTGTTGGCACAGTTGTGTGTTCCCTTCTCTACACAAAGGGATTTGACCTCTTTTTCCCTGCCTCCTTGAGCCCTGAACTAGGAAGGGGAGGGTCACAGCTGGAGAATGGGATCTGAGATCCGTTTCCATTTCATGGGGAGAATTTGGACAAAATGTTTACAGATGTCTCCCAGTATGAGAGCCTCTGCTACGTGAGCCAGCAACGTGTGCTGGCAGCCCAGAAACCACCTACACCCTGGGCTGCAACCCTAGCAGGGTGAGGGGGGGATTCTGCCCCTCTGGGGAGACCCCCCCAAGTGCTGCCTCCAGCTCTGGGGCCACCAACAGCAGAAGGACATGGACCGGTGGAGCAGGGCTGGACGAGGCCCCGGAGATGCTGGGAGGGCTGGAGCCCCTCTGCTGGGAGGACAGGCTGAGAGAGTTGGGGGGCCCTTCCAGTCTGGAGAGAGACTGGAGCCCTTTCCAGTCCCTCAAGGGGCTCCAGGAGAGATGGGGAGGGACTCTGGATGAGGGAGGGGAGCCCTAGGAGGAGGGGGAAGGGTTTGACCCTGCAAGAGGGGAGATGGAGCTGAGATGTGGGGGAGAACTTGTTTGGTGTGAGGGTGGTGAGAGCCTGGCCCAGGTTGGGCAGAGAAGCTGTGGCTGCCCCATCCCTGGAGGGGTTCAAGGGCAGGTTGGAGGGGGCTTGGAGCAACCTGGTGTGGTGGGAGGTGTCCCTGCCCAGGGCAGGGGGTGGCACTGGATACAGGGTCTTTAAGGTCCCTTCCAACCTGAACCATTCTGTAATTCTATGAATAATACCATGTTCTCCAGCGAATTGTTGGTTCCTCTCTATGCAGTTGTCCAGCTTGAGGGGACAGAGAGGAAAATGCTCCCAGTTGAGGCTGTATCATGGCGTAGTTGTGAGGATGCTCTTGAAGCAGAGATAGGAGGTGTGTGCCTTCGCCCTGGATTCCTTGGGTGTTGTATCCTCTGGGTGGCTATATTGTGAAACAGGTGGCCTGGGCCTCACTGCCACCTCTTCCTGCCCCTATGTGTTCAAGGGAGGGAGTAATTACTCTCTTGGGAAGTGGGAGTGAAGGGGGAACACAGAAAGGCACACAAACCTGTGGCACGAAGTACCTTCTCAGCACGTCGTCTTCCCGTCACCTTGAGTACCGACCTGAATTTAAGATGTTGTCTCAAATGACTGTCCTTCAGAGTGTAGCCTGGTTTGGGTCCACTCCTCACGCAGTTGCAGGGGTTATTTGAGGTGCTGTACTGGGTCCTGGTGCTCTCCGTAGGATCATGGTTTTCTGACTTGAGGTTTCAGATAATAGTGATGTTTTGGCCTGTAGAATGTTAGGTTTTAGGTCGATGTAGCCATTTGAGCCACTCTTCAAATACTGGAAATGAGTTTGACAGCAGCCAAGCTGCTTATGGCATTTTTCTACAGAATCAGGTATTTTTTCTAGTACTGTGGTTTTGCTAGGTATCGTTTTATTATTTCTTTGCCAACCTCAAATTCCAAGGAAGGCACTAATTAGCTGCATTGGGTTGTTCATGGACATTAAATACGAACGCTGTTCTGGCAGCGGGTGTGACTTGGTAACATTAAATATGGACATTAAATATGAACGCTGTTCTGGCAGCGGGTGTGACTTGGTGTTTCCCAAATGACAGAGCTTTTGAGGTGCTCATTATCTTCCTCCTGTTGAGGTGAGACCTGCTGTTAAGGTAATTCATTTGGGATGTAGGACTGTAGTTTAGGACCACGGGAGGAGTGAGCATCATTCCAATGCGTGTGTCTCTACCTGCTAAATTACAGGTTCAGTGGCTGAAAAAAGTTCTTGGTGGACAAGAAATGGCATTAAGATGATTTTTTTCCCAATTCCTGTAGGTTGCAGCAAAGCATAAAGCAACGGAGAGGTAAATGTAGTTGCTGTGTATTTCTCTTGATAAGGACTTAGTTTGATTGACGATATCTGTTTCTTTTTGCAGGTCAAAGAATTTTTGAGCACGTTATAATCCTCTTTGAAGCGCAGGCTGAGTCAAACTGTTCCAAACGTCTGCGCCGTCAAAGTCTGAAGTACAGCTTCTGCTTTTAGAGGAGGCCTCTGGAGAGGCAGGACTCAATCCTGTTGCTTTAATTGTGAGGAACAAACAAACTTTGTGAATAGGGAAATGACTAAATAAATCAGTAGGTCTGTTTGTTATTAAGTAACACACACAAATTCTGAAGATACTAGAATTCAGAGAGTTCCTAAACGTTGCGCCTGTTTCTAATCAGACCAATAAGTTCTTCTGGAGTATCTTTATTGTATTTTTTTAAATTTATTTTGTGCCCAGTAGCTATTTAATTTTCAAGAAGGTGGTGGATTTTTTTTTAGTGGAATTGGTTTGTAATGGATGTCGCGTTGTTCTGAGGAAGAAAAAAGTAAAACCCACTTTTGCTGGCGAGGAAATTTTAATATAACCCGGAGTTTTATATTCGAAGGTATTGAAAAATATTGCCTGACAATTTTTGTAGCTGAAGTTCTTCACAGAATGCACTGAATTAAAACAAATTGAGATATGGCTGAAATTTTGTAGGTATCAAATGAGTTTCTATATCTGTTTTCACTGTGCACTGCATGCTAGGGTATCAAGAGGCTTTCTATTCTCTAGCATGTTTGTTGGGGGGGGATTTCCCCCCTTTTTTTTTTTATTGAGCTCTTAATAAAACAGACCTGGTTTTGCTTGTTGGGAAGTCCTCTTTTCCTGTGGAGGAGTGCGTTTGCTTGATGGGGACTGTGAAAGGAAGAAGAAAGTTTTCCAAATGGCCTCTGTCTGTAAATGAGGTGTTTCTAACCCTTTCCTTGATCAGGTTTGGGATGTCAGAGGCGGTTTCCTGCTTTCCTTCCCTTTGCTCACTGAGCCTGCTGGGTGCTTGGACAAGACACTGTGATATCTGAAGCAGGGCTGTCCTTTCTCATCTTCAAAGGGAGACCTTTGTGGAGAAGCTGCTGTTTTGGTGCTTCTTGTTTTATTAACTGAGCCCCTTCTGTTTCAGGTGCAGGAAATGCCACCTCCACAGGGTACACATCTCAGGTGCTGTGTTTTACCAGCTGCTTTGTTCTGCTTTTAACATTTCTGAGTGATTGCACGGGTCAGCTTCTGAATGCAAAACTTTTATTGTAAAGCATTTTATTGTCCACTGTGATGCCTGTTAATTTGAGGTGAAATGTCTTCTTTTGTGGCTGAAGTTGTGCTGGTGTTCTTTCACCTTTGGCTGAAAAATAAAAGTGGCTGGAAAAGCCTTTTTCAATGCTCGGTAGTGTTGGCTCCCTTGTCTCATGGAAAAATAACCTTGTAGATTGCTGGTATGGAATACTGGAGGTTGCTGGTGCATAAATCTAGTACAACAGATGAATTTCAGGTGATGTATTCCTTTATATGTGGTGTATCTTAATTTCTGAAACACACTGATGGGCTTCAGGTTGTTTCTGTGGCTGGGAAATGATCTTATGGGGTAGAAACAGGATTATATAAAATATATCAGACACACACAACTTACTGATCAGTAGAAGTGTTTTGTGTAGTATTTATGTTATAGTGGAACATAGCAATAGCATGGTAGAAAATCTTCTTTTAGACCTCAAGGTTGTCTAGTAAAAGGAAAGGTTTTTAAGATCTTTGCTCCAGAAGTGAAGTGAGGTGGAATGGATGAAGGTTCAGCTCAGATTTACTTGAAGCACCGTAGCAGAAGCCTTTAAAACGTTCTTGGCATCAGTCAGAACGGTAACAACTTTATTTTGACTAAGACTGCAATTATTCCTACAGTTTCAGCTGTCAAAATTGTGGATTTAATTACAGGAATTGGGATGACAGTGCTCATTGCAAAGGAGTAAACAAGCCTGAGTTCTAATAAAGCCTTCATTTTCAGCCCGTCACAGAGCACACAGACACGGTGGCAGGTTATCTGCGTCCCGTTCCAGAAAGCTTTACAAAATCTCTGGCTGCCAAGTTGGGGTTTGAAGGAGCGAAGTCATGCCCAATTATTCAGAATGCTTTTAATTGCTGTGGAGAGGAAAAAACACGACAACAGACCCAAACCAGGCACCCCCACCCGCCCTCAAGCTTGGGAACGGGCTGGGCTGAATCTCCCCGAGCTGCAGGATGTGTGTGTAGGATGGAGATGGCTCGAGACTCTTCTGCCTCAGCTGAGACCCTGCAGCTCTAACAGTACCTGGGACTCTCATCTTTGTCAGTATTCTTTCTGTTGCTTAAATCTTCCTAGGATTTTTTTTTTTTAAAAAAAAAAAAGCAGGAATGGTGTTGGTTTTTTCCTGTTAAGAGAGATGGAAGGTTCCTGAGCTGATACCTGCTCTTTGGATATGAGGTTTTTTTCAGTCTCTGAGTGGTGCATCCCTTTCTCTCCCCTTGGGTAAGAGAGAATTTGATGGAACTAGTTAGAAACTCTTGCTCATTTTAATCAAGTGTCATCATGATTGGGATGGGGGTTTCACTTTTTTCCAGCTAGGACACAGCTTCACGTATTGATTGGTAGTGTTTTAATTGCTGCGCGAGTATACGTGTGAGCAGCGGACATAAAATTGCCTCCTTTTGTTTTCAGTCCTTGTAGTTTTCTGTACAGTGGATTTTATGTTCTCTTAATATAAATGCTCCTTAGAGCAGCAACCAATTTCGTGTGTAGAACTTAATTTTCTGTAATTTTGTGCCAGTTACTTATTTCTACTATCTTCCGTTTACTTAAGCAGACTTCATAATAATGGAATTATATATAAAATGTGATTAGTGTTGAGATTATTCTGTTCTTTTCCCAGTAATTAAAGACTCCAGGAGTCTTATTTGTGAAATAAAAGTGATGCAAGAGAAATTCACCATAAACTGTTAAGTACAGACCAGGGAAAGAACACATGGAGTAATAATTAAGTTATATCTTAGGAAAAAAACAGTGTGCAGTTGTCATTGCCAAGAGGTTTCAGCACAGCGAGGTGTGGGGACTCCAAGGTTGTTTTCCCAGCTCCCGTTTAGACTCAGGATGATCGTGAGTAAATCAGTCTTTGCCTCTCAGTCTTTGCATCTTTAAAATATTGATATCTCCAGATGCCTTCAGAAGGCTGGGAGGGTCAGTTTGTTAATATTGATGTGCTGTTTTGTAGGTCTGAAGTGCTCTATTAAATAATTGAGAACGAAGGCAGCCCTGGCTTTAGATTTTTTTATTTAATTTTTTTTTTTTTTTAACTGGGATGTTTTGGTGTCCTCATGGAAGGGGTTGCTGACCCACTTCCATGGCCAAGAGCAATCATTTATTAGTTTTAAAAGATATTAAGAGCCATCAGGGCAACGTCAGTTGTGTTAAAGTCAGTTTGCTGGGAAACTTGACAACTGAAAACTGTCCCCCGTTTGTGAGGAGAGGAAACTTATGACAAATTGAATCTTGCAGTGAAGAGTTGGTGGTGCAGGATCTGCCACACGAGGTCATTGTGTCCTCGGCTCTCGCTGCGAGAGGAGCCTTAGTGTTTTCCCAGTGAATGGCTCTGGGACAGGGAAAGAAGGAAGAGGTCATCCCCTCGCTTTGCCAGAGCAAAACCATTAAACTGATTAGTAACTACTCTGCTGAATGAGAGAAATCCTGGGGGGGAGGGAGGGAGGGGGAGGAAGCAAGCCCCGTGGGATTAAGTGAAAGGCTCGAAAAGGCTGAGCTGAGGGACTATTAAATAATTGAGAACGAAGGCAGCCCTGGCTTTAGATTTTTTTATTTAATTTTTTTTTTTTTTTAACTGGGATGTTTTGGTGTCCTCATGGAAGGGGTTGCTGACCCACTTCCATGGCCAAGAGCAATCATTTATTAGTTTTAAAAGATATTAAGAGCCATCAGGGCAACGTCAGTTGTGTTAAAGTCAGTTTGCTGGGAAACTTGACAACTGAAAACTGTCCCCCGTTTGTGAGGAGAGGAAACTTATGACAAATTGAATCTTGCAGTGAAGAGTTGGTGGTGCAGGATCTGCCACACGAGGTCATTGTGTCCTCGGCTCTCGCTGCGAGAGGAGCCTTAGTGTTTTCCCAGTGAATGGCTCTGGGACAGGGAAAGAAGGAAGAGGTCATCCCCTCGCTTTGCCAGAGCAAAACCATTAAACTGATTAGTAACTACTCTGCTGAATGAGAGAAATCCTGGTGGGGAGGGAGGGAGGGGGAGGAAGCAAGCCCCGTGGGATTAAGTGAAAGGCTCGAAAAGGCTGAGCTGAGGGAGGGTTTTTGACACCAGAAGGTTTTGCGTGCAGCCACCAGCTGTTCCTCTCCTGGGGGTGAATATTAGTGCATGGATAACACTAATCCTGCTGTGTCTGGGCCATAATGGTCTCCCAGTACCTCGGGGTGGTCACTGAGCGTGGGCATAAAATCAGTGTCATCTGCAGAGCCCAAAAGTTGTGTCCAGGTGACACTTGTCCTTCGGTCTGGCTTTCAGGCCTTGGGTAGGAATAATATGTTGGCAGTATAAAATAGACTATAGTGCGTGTTGGATTGCATTTTAGGCTATTGCCTGTTTCTTGGGTTTCTGCTGACTGCTCTTCCCCATGTTTTAGGATGTACGTTCCATATCTGTGTCTCTGGAATACCACCACAGTCCAGCTCACACCATGTGTGTTTGCTGGCTCATGGTACTCACCCACTTAGAAACTCAGGCACTTGGTTCCTGAGTTATTTACAAAGAATTTGCCACTGCAGTTCATTCAGGAGCACGTTCCTGTGGTTTCTCCTTTTCTGTCCTGCATTTTGTGCTTTTTCTCTCCAATTTCCTTCTAAGTTGTTGCGGCTTGTCTTTTAATAACTCCTAAAAATGTGATCCTGTACAAGTTGTAACAGACTCGTTAAAGGCAAACTTTCTCTCCTGTGCAGCCTACTTGAGGCTGTGGCTTCTGCCTCTCTTCACTTGGGTACGTGCCTGCTTGTCCTTGTCAACATTTTCTTTGCTTTCTCTGCTTTATTATCATCCAGGGGATGGGCAACATGTCAACGGGCTAAAAACCTTGTTCAGGTGGGGTTTGTGTTGCAGTGTGGCATGGCCACAGCCTGGCCACAGCTCGTTTGGGTGCTGTGGCTTATGTGGCCTGCTTTAACCACAGCTCTTGCTGGAGCGTCCTTTAAACATTCATATTTCTGAATGGTGGACTTGCTGCGTATTGTGACAAATGAATACAGCTCTTTTTAGTGGAATTGAGCAGTTTTGGAGAGTTAACTGAGATTCCTTGAGGCTGGGAGCCCTCCTTCTCCTGGGCAGTCTCTATTTTCAGCATGCATCATGCTATTGTGCCTACAATTAGGGTTTGGAGGCTAATGAGAGCTCCAACTATTCTTAGACATATTGATCTCACAGGGTCAGCTCTTACCTGCTGAGATTTACTCTCTGTCCCCTTCAAATTTATGCACAAGAGTAGCCTTCTCCTTGGCAGACAGCATGACACTCGTGGTCTGGTGGATGATTGTTCTGCTGCTGCTGGCTTCCCATCCTGGTCAGCATTGTACCATGGGCAGGACAGCTCTGTGGTGATGCCAACATGCTGTCTTGCTGGAGTGCCCTTTAAACTTTCTGATTTCTGCATGGTGGACTTGCTGCATATTGTGACAAAGGAATCCAGCTCTTTTTAGTGGAATTGAGCAGTTTTGGAGAGTTAACTGAGATTCCTTGAGGCTGGGAGCCCTCCTTCTCCTGGGCAGTCTCTATTTTCAGCATGCATCATGCTATTGTGCCTACAATTAGGGTTTGGAGGCTAATGAGAGCTCCAACTATTCTTAGACATATTGATCTCACAGGGTCAGCTCTTACCTGCTGAGATTTACTCTCTGTCCCCTTCAAATTTATGCACAAGAGTAGCCTTCTCCTTGGCAGACAGCATGACACTCGTGGTCTGGTGGATGATTGTTCTGCTGCTGCTGGCTTCCCATCCTGGTCAGCATTGTACCATGGGCAGGACAGCTCTGTGGTGATGCCAACATGCTAAGATGGCATGGTACACTCTAGAAATTATTTCTAATTGTATCTGCCACGTCTTATGACTATATCACACACTTAAACTTGGGTGATACAGCTGGAATGTTCATCACATTTAGAGCTTACAGCAGCCTTCCAACATCTAGAGGGGCTCCAGGAAAGCTGGGGAGGGACTCTTGGTCAAGGAGAGGAGCCATAGGACAAGGGGGGATGGTTTTGAACTCGGAGAGGGGAGATTTAGATTAGATATTGGGAAGAACCTCTTTGGTGTGAGGGTGGTGAGAGCCTGGCCCAGGTTGCCCAGAGAAGCTGT